GTGTGTGTGTGTGTGTGTGTGTGTGTGTGTGTGTGTGTGTGTGTGTGTGTGTGTGTGTGTGTGTGTGTGGGGCAAGAATGTAGAAGCAAAACTCATATTTTCAATTCCTCCAAGATTTTTTATAAAATTGAAAAACATCGCAAATATAGAGATTTAGATGACTATAATAACACAAACGTTTTATTTTTAATATTAAATTAGAAATGCTGAACGTTCAGTTTCGGAACATTATTTCTAATTCAATAGCCAAAGAAAAACTGAGAATATCAACTTCGCTTCTATACATCAAATGTAAATATACGCTATGAATTATCTTAACACATTACAAAACGTGGATAGTTCGAAAATTCGGAAGAATTAAATAAAACTCACTAAAAAAAAGTTTTATTATTCCAAATGGCGTGAATTTGCAATTTGTCCGCCACTTGTTCCGCCAGTTTAAGGCCTATACGCTTGTCAGTCAAAAGACGGACTACTTTTTTGGTCATCGCCGCACATTAATTGAAGTGCGCGGTCACGATTCATAACGATACTTCTACAATCTGATTTTGCAACAAATATTTTTTATAAATTTCACAAAAATGTACTGTTATAAAAACATCTCGACTCTCTGACATCTATATATGTTACAGAGTTCCCTTCAGGAAATCACAAAATACGCACACGCAATTCGTATGTGTCCGTGAATACTATCTACCTACCTTTTATATCTCGATACCGCTAATTCGCCGAGCGATAAATCGATTATACGCTTACGTTAAATAATAACTAAATTGCACTAGTACATTGCACACATTCTCGGATATATTCTTTGGCATCTCTACAAATTATTAATACATATACATATATTTTATTAATCGCAAGTTCTGAAATAAAGGGAAAAATCGCATCCGATGCGATAGGCCAGTATCTATAATATACTCAAGAAAAATGACTCATACGAGTTCGAGTCTCGAATAGATTTCCTGAGAATAACATCGATGTGACACAGTTAAATTTCATCCATGTGATTTTTTAATCGTAGGATAATTTATTATTTACGTCTTGGAGAGCATTCAGACAAATTATATATACATCTTTTAAATATTTCTAATTTCTCAATAAACGAACGTTTCAAAAGTATTGCACACGCACGCACGCACGCACACGCACACAATTAAATCAACAAATAAGCAACTAAATTAATCCAACAGTGATAAACATAATACATTATAATAATAAATACCACTAACCACAAGGAACTTGTCTGATCTAAAATGCATTTTTCTTTTATGATAAAGATATCTAATAAATCGTAAATATGATATAAGACTTTGAATAAAAGTAATAACAAAAATTCAAAAATATAGATACGCTCAGCTTATTGCTGACGACTTGACGAGATCTACTCTATTATAATAAATATTAAACTTACTACAGAAATCTTTGAGTACTCGAACCCGTAGTTAACTTTCTGCAAACTGAAAGTTCTCGCGCAGTTTTTAAAGAAGGAACAACGGGCGACTATATTTATTATCATCTGTTTTGCTATTATCATTCACTATATCTTGACTTACACATCACTCACACATGCATACACGCACGCACGCACACGCACACACACACACACACGCGCGCGCGCGCGCGCGCATGCACATGCACATACACACAAGTTAAATTATATCGTCCCAATTAAATAGTGGATACGACTTTATCAAACGTCATAGATGTTCCTCATGACAGTCCATTTGTCAAATCGATCCGTTGGTAATCATAGTTTATAGATCGTGACACAGGTCAGATGTATAGTTGCAGTCATACGTAGTTTTGATATCTCTAGATAACAACAATTTGACGAGTGTCGACAGTTTTCCTTTCCCTTCCCACCTCTCTAGAAAAATAAGACGTGCCGACGGCAATAATTTTAGATCGAATGTAATACGTAATTTGTGCGCTTACATAATAAAAAATATCTGATGAATGTATAAATAATAAATAATAATAAGGTTGTTTAATTCGAGTAAGATAATTGAATACTATATTTGATAACTTGATTTTGTCGGTAGAGTACCCGGGAAAAAATGTTTCATATATAATTATATATAAAATGTATGTGTGTGTATGTGTGTGCGCGCGCGCGCGCGCGTGTGTGTAGGAAAGACCGGGGTACCATGAGTCACAAAAATTCAAACTCTTAAAAGTGCATCTAAATATAACATTTTTTTAAATAATTAAATAATGCATATTTTAAAATTTAATAAGTATATTTAGTAAATATTTATTAGTTTTTAAGAAAAAGAT